AATCCCAGCACTTTGGGAGGCCAAGGCAGGTGGACCACCTGAGGTCAGAAGTTTGAGACCAGCCTGCCCAATATGGTGAAACCCTGTCTCTACTAAACATATAAAAAATTAGCCAGGCATGGTGGTGGCCACCTGTAATCCCAGCTACTCAGGAGGCTGAGACAGGAGAATCACTTGAACCCGGGAGGCGGAGGTTGCAGTGAGCCAAGATCCCACCACTGCACTCAACAGAGTATGACTCCATCTCAAAAAAACAAAAAAAACAAAAAAACAAAAAAAAAAAAAAGGGAGATGATAGTGAACCAGCTGAAGGAAGAGAAAGAAGAAAGATTAATGGTGACATGGTTAAAGAAGGGGGATTGATGGTGGTAATGGAAAACCAAGAGATGGACAAGGTGAAGGATACAGAAGCTGCCTGGAAGAAATGGATTCCTTAATCACTTCATTCATTTCTTCCTCCCTTCACCCTTCCATCATTTGACACATTTTCACTGAAATCACTCACTCCATGCTTCAGGCACTGTGGACCCAGAAACCAGTCAGAGATCATCCCTCACCCACCCAGAGCCTCTAATGAGGACCTAGACACAAGCCAGACATCCAGAGGAGGGTGTGAGAAAGCGACCACAGCACCAGTAAGACTCAGGGCAGGGCTGACTTTTCAGCTGCTCCATGAAGAGCAGGCAAGACAAGGGGATTTAGGCAGAGAGGACCGTGCATGCAAAGGTCTGGGGGTGTGAGAGGTCCTGGTGTTTTGGGAGCCATGAAATATCTGGGTGGTTGACACAGGGGCACAAAGAGGAGGGTTGAGAAATGGAGCTGAGAAGGTTGCCTGGGTGTACCCAGGTCATGAGGGCTGTTGAGTGTTAAGAAAAATGATGCAACATTTATGATCACTGCATGCCAGGCACTGTACTAACTCACTTAACCTTCATAACCCTGTAAAGTAGGTCTATTACCATCCCTGCTTTTCCTGCTTTTCCTTCTGTCTTTTTTTTTATTTTTTTTGGAGATGAGTCTCACTCTGTAGCCCAAGCTGGAGTGCAGTGGCACAATCTCGGCTCACTGCAACCTTTACCTCTGCGGCTCAAGAGATTCTCCTGCCTCAGCCTCCCAAGTAGTTGGGACTAGAGGCATGTGCCACCACACCCAGTTAATTTTTTTTTTGTATTTTTAGTAGAGACAGAGTTTCACTGTGTTGCCCTGGGTAGTCCCAAACTCCTGAGCTCAGGTGATCCACCCGCCTCGGCCTCCCAAAGTGTTGAGATTACAGGTGTGTGCCACCATGCTGGCTCATCTCTGTTTTGTTTTGTTTTTTTTTTTTTGAGACCGAGTCTCACTCTGTCACCCAGGCTGCAGGTTGGAGTGCAGTGGCGCCATCTCGGCTCACTGCAAGCTCCGCCTCCCAGGTTCATGCCATTCTCCTGCCTCAGCCTCCTGAGTAGCTGGGACTACAGGCGGCCACCACCACGCCTGGCTAATTTTTTGTATTTTCAGTAGAGACGGGGTTTCACCATGTTAACCAGGATGGTCTCGATCTCCTGACCTCATGATCCGCCCACCTCGGCCTCCCAAAGTGCTGGGATTAAAGGCATGAGCCACCATGCCCGGCCTCATCTCTGCTTTTTTAACAAGGCAAAGGAGGCTCAGCAACAAGGCAAAGGAAGACAGCAATAAATTACCCAAGATCACTTAGCTAGAAAATGCTCAAGCTGGGACTCAAACCCAGGCAACCTGACCTCAGAGCTTGCAATCCTATCATAGGTCTAAAGATCTGAGTTAGGGAGGTTAACCATGACCAATCCAGGGGCAATGAGCACCTCCAGCACCCAGACTGTGTTCTCTATCTTCCCTTACTATCCTTTTATTTACCGTAGGATCTGTAGTGATGTCCCCCTCTTTCATTTCTGATACCAGCCATATGTGTGTGTTTTAACTTTTTTTAAAAAAGAAAAACAAAAACGATTGGTCCCGTTGATGCTTATGATTTTACTGATCTTTTCAAAGAATCAACTTTTGGTAAGATGGGAGTCTCCAAATACCGTTCCCCACTAAAAGAACCTGGGACTCCTTAGAGAAATGGTGGATTCCAGGGCTGGGGCAGGGAAGAACAAGTGAGCCTGGGTCAGATGGTGAGGAAGTGCTCAAAGGCGGATTGGGCATGTTACAGGAACAGAGGACCCAGCTTGCAGGGGTGGCCAATGGCCAAAAATGGAGCAATTTGAGCATCAAAATAACTGCAGATCAAATATGCTAAAATCCATAAAATCATGAGACTTTTAAAAGGGGTGGCGAGGGGGTGGGGAAGGTAAAAGGAAAGG